AATTTTTCGGTCTTCAATTTTTCGATTTTTAGCTTTTAGATTTTTAATTTTTCTTTTTCATCATTTGAGATTTTTCAGTTTAATGATTTTTGTTTCTTCAATTTTTGATCTGCACCTTTGGATGTTTCAGTGTATAGATTTTGCAATTTTTCGATTTGCAGTTTCACGAGTTTTAAATTTTTAGTTTTTCAGTTGTTGGATTTTTCAATTTTTAATTTCTTCAATTTTTCGTTTGGCTTTGTAATAATAATAATAATACTAATTCTTTATTTACCTTCAGAAAATATTATACAGAAAATATTTAAGAAGGGATTGTCAAAATAAAATAGTACAAAAAATATAGTACCAACAATGTTTATTTATTTTTTCAATTTTTCGGTTTTTCAGTGTTACAATTTTAGGATTTTTCTATTTCTCAGTTATTGGATTAAAAATTTGAAAACCCAAAAATTGTAAAATCGAACAAATGAAAGTTTTAAAATTTCATTTATTCGAGTTTTCAATTTTTCGATTTGCAATTTTTCATTTCGATTTTTATTTTCTTTATTTTTTAATTTTTGTAATTTTTCGATTTAAAATATCTCGACTTTTCAATTTTCGATTCTTTATTTTTCATTTCTTCACATTATCGATTGGTAATTTTTCGTTTCGAGTTTTTTATTTTCTTTATTTTTACAATTTCTCAATTTTTCGATGTTCAGATTTTACAATTTTTTGTTTTTAAATTTCAATTTTTATTTTCTTCAGTTTTTCGATTTTTGATTTCTCTTTTGTTTTTTCAATTTTATGACATGCAACTCTTTGAGTTTTCATTTTTCAAATTTTCAGTTTTTCAGTTTTTCATGTTTTCAATTTTTCGGTTTTTCATGTTCTAATTTTATAATTTTTCTTTTTCCGATCTGAAATTTTTCAATTTTTGGATTTTTCAGTATTTCGATTTGCAATTTTTCGATTTTTTACTTTTAGATTTTTTTATTTTTCGTTTTCTCCATTTGAGGTTTTTCAGTTTCATGATTTTTGTTTCTTCAATTTTTGATCTGCACCTTTGGATGTTCCAGGGTTTAGATTTTGCAATTTGTCGATTTGCAGTTTCACGAGTTTTTATTTTTTAGTTTTTCAATTGTTGGATTTTTCAATTTTTCATTTCTTTAATTTATCATTTCGGCTTTTTAATAATAGTAATAATACTAATTCTCTATTTACCTTCAGAAAATATTATACAGAAAATACAGAAAACATTTAAGAAGGGATTATCAAAATAAAATAGTACAAAAAATATAGTACCAAAAATTTTAATTTATTTTTTCAATTTTTCGGTTTTTCAGTGTTACAATTTTACGATTTTTCTATTTTTCAGTTATTAGATCAAAAATTTGAAAACCCATAAATTGTAAAATCGAATAAATGAAAAACTTTTAAATTTTCATGTATTCGATTTTTCAATTTTTCGATTTTTAACTTTTAGATTTTTTAATTTTTCATTTACTCAATTCTAGATTTTTCAGTTTCATGATTTTTCAATTTTTTGTTTCTTCAATTTTTGATCTGGGGTTTTCCTAATTTTCATTTTAAATATGTAATAGTACTAAAAATTTTTAAAAAAATTCGATTTTTCAATTCTCAATTCAGTTTTTAATAATATAATTCTTTATTTACCTTCGGAAAATATTACACAGAAAATACAGAAAAGAAAAAAGTTTTCTTTATTTTTTTAATTTTACGATTTTATAATTTTTTATATTTTTCAATTATTGGATTAAAATTTTGAAAACCCATAATTGTGATATTGACTAAATGAAATTTTTTAAAATTCTTATTTATTTGACTTTTTTACAATTTTTGGGTTTTCAAAGTTTTCGAATCGATTCGGTTTTCTTTTCTTTCCAATTTGTCGAGTCTTTTATTTTTTCGAGTTTTAAGTTTCTCGATTTTTAGTTTTGCAATGTTTCAAATTTTCTTTTCTTCAGTTCTTTCGATTTTTAATTTTTCCATTTTTCAAGAAAACTTTGAAAAATCTAAAAATTGGAAATCAAGAATTTGAAAAATTGAAGAAACGAAAAATTAAAAATCGAAACAACAAAATATGTATTGATCGGAAAATCCAATAATTGGAAATCCAAAAATTTCAAAATTGGAAAATCGAGGAATTGAAAAATCGAAGATTGGAAATTTTGAAAAATCAAAGATTGAAAATTTGGAAAATCGAATAAACAAAAAATTATGAAATCGAAAGAAATATTGAAAAAAGAAAAGAGATAAGAAACGAAAAATTGTGTTATAAAATCGAAAAATGAAAACTAAAAAAACTGGAAAATGGAAAATAAAAATCAAGAACTTGCAAAATTATGGAAACGAAAAACTGAAAAAATGAATAATTGTCATATCGAAAAATTGCAAATCGAAAAATTATGAAACCGAAACAATGAAATATTGAAAGAAAAAAAAAGGAAAATTGTGATATCAAAAAATTGTAACATCGAAGAAAAAGGGAAAAATAAAAATTGTGAAGGCAATTAAATTCAGATTTCTCAGAAAATTATAAGATTTGATTTTTTTACAATAACCCCTATAAGTTAAAATAAAGACAACGGGTGTTCAATTAAAAAGTCATCAAGTTGGCTTTGACTTTTTTTAAACGTTGTGAATTAAAATTTAATCGATGACAGTTGAGAACGCGCAAATGTCAATTGTATGGAGCCGTATGAATTAATAAAACACATACGTTTTTCTCTACGTTTTCTTTTATCAAAAAAGAGGCGTTAAAGATTAAAATAAATTGCCTCATTAATTATTTTTTCTACTCAGCTTGTATAAATAATTCTATAAACTATGAAACTATAATATTTTGCATATTCCAGAGAGAATTTATTAGGCAAACTTTTGAGATGACGTCATCAATTTTTTGGGAGAGGATAAATTTTGATTAAAAATTTACCATGATTACGATAACTTTAAAACGTTTGAAAGATTTCAGAGCATTCGGTTTTGCAGTTTCATTCCATTGGTGATATAGATGATTAGCCAAATTTTGGTTAGCGTTATTTGACAATTGGTCCAGTAGTTTTGGTGTCTAATAAAAATTAATACAGACAGATAGACGAAAACGGAGGACTAATTTTTTCGTACTCTAGAAGTCATGAGACGTCGAGAAAACATGAAAGTCGCGTGATAGACTCGATTACTATACCTTAGTTTACGCTCAGGAAGTAAATATATTAAACATAACTTTAACCAAAAGTAATGCATGCTTAATGTTTAAATCATTCTTTTATGTGGCTATTTTATATTTTATAGTTGATTTATGCGAATAAGTTACGAGTTAAAGCAAGCAGTAAAAGTTCAGATTTTTCCTTACTTCTTGTATATTTGACGAAAGAGTAATTTTATTCCTCTGTTCAACTATTTCCATTGACATTAACGTCACTGAAAATTTAGGTTCATTATGTTTCAATATAAAACCGTGTTCCAAGGGTAGTAATAGCTTTTTGTGTAACCAGAGTGAATGATGAAGCACCCTATCTAAAAATACCAACTTAAACGCCATTTAATAATACTATGGTCGAGCTTTAACGTCAGCTGTTATATTTTAAGTATATTTTTAAAAGCGACAAAATAATTAATCTCCGCTTTAATCACTTCTTTTGACCTGAATGACCTCAAACAACGGCTCGACCCATCTAATACGGGTGCACTGGTCCATTAAAATTTCAAATATTATAAGCATACGTGGGCTCCCCGATGAATTGTTCGATCCGATTCATTTCCCTATGTATTATATTTACAAGATGATTGCATATGGATTCACCGGTGTGAAAATGATAGATCGTCCCAACTGCGACCCAATAATGTTAACAAGGAATTTAACAGAACTCATGGAAAAGAGTTTATGGTAATTGCGCCAATTAACCAGAATTTGCATGTGCTTTTTGTGAATTAACCGTTAGACGAGAGACACGAAATGTTAATTATACAGGCCTCAGTACACAGTTTGGCTAAACCCTGTTTTCTTTGTAATTAAAAATGAAAGAGTCGGACTGATGTGACGGCAAAAAGATTCAGACTTCATTTTTCATTATTGAGTGGATTTATTTTGTGACGTTTGTCATTTTGTTAACTAAATTAATGGGTTTGAAAATTTTACGTTTTGTTGAGTGGTGCTCGCATTCGGTAAATAGTAGATGATAAATCGTTACTTATTTTGGTAATTGCTGAAAAGACAATTACAGGTAACGCAAGGGTTTGAGTAAAATTGAGTGATTAAGCGGTTGTTGGTCGAATTTAAATACGTTTTTAATTGTCGCTATTCTGTTTTTTTTTGTTTTGTTTAAAAAAAATGCTAATTTGTTCTCAATTCTAATTTAAATTTTTTTAAAGTTGGAAGAAATCTACGGATGAAATACAGCCACAATAAACCTTCAACTTGGGAACAAGATGAACGACTTGTGGAAAAAAAGACACCCAAAATCCCTTGTGCTAAGATGAATTTAACACAAATTAAACTAATTTCAGAGCACTTAAATAACTGCGTTTTTTATTTTTCTTTACGTAATGCATGGCATAAATAATAACTAAATAATTGTTCATTTGCCCGGCACCTCCACCATAATTACGGCAGCACGTAAAACAATTCTTTAATTATTTTTAAAATTGTATGACATTTTTCTAGGCCACACAAAACAAACACAATTTTCTCATTTTGCACGTTTTCTATTTTTGTAAAACGTAATTTAAACATATTCCATTTTAAAATACAAAAACTGGGCGTTCTTTTGAAGTTATATTGACAAAATTTTGTTCCATCCCTGAAATAAAATTTTCCGCTGCAATAATTTCCGGGCTTTTTGAATATTAAACAAAACTACCGTGCTGTCGCTATATGAAAAATTAAATGTAGCGCAGTGTTGAAGAAACTATACAGATAATGAGAAAGTTTCTCCAATTACTTTGATTCGAGTTTGAGGCGGCATTAATAAGACAACAGCGTCTGTCCTATGCAAGATTTACGATATCCTGGCGCTGGAGCAGAAATGTGATCGGTGATCATCATTTCCGGTCAAGCTCGACTTGGTAACTATGCGCAAAGTAAGTCAATAAATTTGGTCATTATCAACAAGATTCTTACGCTAACTTCGGCTCGTAAATACATGAAGTACACTACGCTGATTTCCGGCTAGCGAATTATGATATGATAAGTAAAAACATGTAGTGCGGTAAATTCAACAGTTATTTTCTAGCAGTGTAGCTATAGAGAAAATATGATCCAGTATACAACAGTGCGGATGTTATTATTAATTAAACGAAACATCACTTGTTACTCACTAAAATCTATTATTTACAGACCCTGGAAACTGATCACTGTGGGTCACAGTTGTATTTGTTCTACATTTTTTATTAAATGCGATTTTAGATTGGGGCTTAATCATTTAAGGAGGTAAATTTGGCTTAACAGTTAGCTTCAAACCCACGGTTTATTAATTTTACAGTAATTTCAAAAATTCCACGCGTTTAATTTAATAATCTTTTACTCAAAATGTTTGATATATAATTAGGAATTAAGATCCCACTTTAGAGAATTCTATTCCGGTCTTTATTGATTTTGGGTAATAAGACGTCTAAAGACAAAAATACGGAAATGTCAATGACTTATAATTATTTGAGAGGAAAGAGGGTTGCTTTTGCGAGTTTACCTCGGTATTTATTATTGTGACGAATATTGTAGTAATGGCATCAATGCTGGTATTTACTTATGAAAGAAGACAACAAGAATTTATGTCCATCAAATAGACTGATGAAAGTTGTTTCCGTCTGTCTGTCCATCTGTCCGTCCGTCTGTCTGTCCGTCTGCCATCTGTCCGGATTTTTATTAGACAGATAATCTCCGAACATACTGGGCCGATTCTTGTCAAATTTTGTATTTATATTAGGAACCAAAATTTGTGTAATCATCCCCACCAATAATATGATGACGTCACATCAAAATTGTACAAAGTAAATGCAGTTTATGACTCCGTGTTGAGTTTTTACCCGAAACGTCCAGACTTTTGGGAAAAAAAAACAAAATTATAAAACAACATTTTTCAATTTAATGTTGAATCTGCAAAACCGAATGCTTTGAAATTTTGCAGATGTTTTAAGGTTATAATAGGCATGATAAATTTTTAATCAAAATATATTTACTTATCCCTTCCAAAAAATTGATGACGTCAGCTCAAAATTTTGCCGAATAAGTCCTATCTAAAATGTCCAAAATATGATGAGTATATACTTGTGAGTTATCATTCCATTCATACTTTTAGATTTGCTTATAGGGGGTGACTCAAAAAAAATGAATGTTTTAAAATATTGGAGATGTTTTAAAGTTGTCATAAGCATGGCAAATTTTTTATCAAAATGTATTTGCTCATCCCCCCCTAAAAACAACTTTCGACCAATTTTTCTCTATTGCTATTGATTCAAAAATTTTATAATTTTACGACGACGAAGTAGTGTTCAAAATTTAAATATATATATATATATATATATATCCATTTAAAAAATAACTCAGATGAAACAGCAGCCAATATTATTAAAGCAGCTATCTAAACTTTTTTTTCAAAAATATTTGGGCAAGTCAATATTTTTTTTAAGAAACTTGATTTTCGTGGTTGTATTAGTGTAAAATCTCCTACAAGATAAGACAATTTCATTTTGGGATATTCCAGACCTCTGAAATACAATCGAATAAATACAGCTTCTTCGAAAAATAATATAATTTAATTTTATAATTATTTTTTATTACAACCCCTATAATCTAAAATAAATTTATTGTGTTTTCCGACAATATTAAATATATTTAAAGCCGATAACCAATCCAAAAAAGTCTATGATCTTATATCTATATTAACTTCAATTGTTTACCTAAAGAATGTGACCATTAAACCCACACTAACTTTGCTGAAAAATTTGAAAACACAGGAGACTACTAAAATGATTAATTAAGCTACGCTGAAGCAAAATTTTCTAAATATTATTTTCCGTAGCTCTTATTATAATAATTATTGGTTTACTATTGTTGAATATAGGCGGGTTATGATGATGCAATTTCGTTTTTTTTTTTGTAAGAATTTGGATGCCTAGGCTTAACAATCAAGGCGGATTCATAAACCGCAAGTATATAAGTACGTCACACAAACAGACGGAAACGGGGACCAATTTTGTCGCACTCTAGGGGTCATGAAACGTCAACAAAACGCGAAAATACCCTATTACAATACTTCCGTAGGTTATGCTCGGGAGGTCATAAATTTAATTATACCATAAGATAAAAGATGCGGAAGTTTTGTATCTTTAAACTCTTTCAAAGCTGGTTTTACGCAAACTCTCATCTGTCGACGAGGCATATTGCTTCCTTCACTTTGACTTTCCACTTTATTAATTAAAAATGTTGCGTACATTTGCCCCAACAGTATGTAGTTTACAAAAACCTTATATAGTCGAATTTAGAAGCCAAAAAGCTGCTCTGTATTTTGAGTGAATTTTTTTTTAATTACGCCAACACACAAAATCAAAGCTTATTTCTCCTAGTCAGAACAAGGTGTTAAAAAAAATCACCTTTTAAAAAAAATGAAGCTTCAAAATATTTCGTAAACTGTTTTTTTAACAACAGGGTACGAAGCCAGCGAACGATGAACAAGAAAATCTTAGATTCGTATACTACATACAGGGCTTTCCAAAAATTGAAACATAAAATTCACAAAATTCTAATAAATAAATGAATAAAAAAATAGATAAATAAATAAACCATTATTTTCTTAGTATGTGTCAATAATCAATTTATCCAAATAATCATAAAGCCGTTGCTAGTAAATCCTGTTGTTAATTTTTAAGCAGTCGCCCCAATATTATAGATAATAAATTAGACAAAAAATGATCATTAATGTTTTAATTTTTAAAAATAGAGTGATTTATAAGTTATTGTTATCTGTGATTAATTTTACCATTATTAGATTATTTCTTTAGTCGTAACATTATTTCTATTGGATGAACTGGCGATGTCACATTTTGTCATTTTCGCTTAAATTATCGTCACAACGTGACAGTCGCAAAACAACCGATTGTTTAATTAAAATAATCCTTTTGAGGACAATAAATTGTAGGCGTTCCACATAAATAAATACATTTGAAAGACAGAAGCCGTTTACTTCAAATAGTTGTTTTCATTTTATTTTAATCTAAATTATAATTTAGTTTTAACTAATTATGGTTAATTAGCTTCGCTACAACTGCTGCTACTAGTTTCAGACATTAAATAAGTTGCTGTAGTTTTTGTTTCTATATATTTCAACTGATTTAATGATGCTTCATTAAAAGCCGATTATCGACGTTACCAAATCTCAAACGAAAACACCTTCGTTATTGATAAATTAATATAAATTGATTAAAAAAATATTTCATTAAAGTGCTATTGGACAAAAAATACTTCTTGGAACTCGTCGAAAATTTTAGTAATAAAGATATCTCTTAAATTTTATTTCTAATTAATGTTGTAAATTACAAAATATTGCTTTCATTATTACAACTTGTAATAATGAAAGCAATATTTTTAATGACCTGATCAGACCGAAATCAAACATCATACGGTTTGTTTCTCTGATGGGTTTTTATTTGTGAAATAGTATCCTTCAGATGTTTTCACAGTGAACTTTGGAATAAAAATTTTCTCTTTTCGGGAATTAAAAACGAAGGGTTTTGGCATATCGGAATTTGTGAATGCCAAATATAATAATATAAATATTTACAACATAAAAAATTCGCAAAGGTCAGAATAAAAAAACGTATGAATTGTAAGTCAAATAATATTTCAAGTCGTATCTCTTGCCTCGAAGGGAATAAAACAAAAAATGCTTTGTCAAAAATAAATATCTCAATTCATTTAAATGTTTTAAAATTCACAGTTTAATATTAGGTTTTAATTACGCCTTTTTAAAGCGGATCTTTAAAATATTCAAACAAATCAAAAATCATTTATTAAAAGTCAACCACATTTTTTAAAGTCGCTATAAATATGTACTATTAAATTACCCGTGACATAATCAACTCAAAACGATAACTTATACCTTTCTTGCAATATGAATAAAATGTTCAAATTTTAGCCGAACTACCCACACACTTACCACCTACAAGTGCGTTAAGTTAACGAGTTTCATTATTCTTCGATTGCGGTCCTGGGCTATGACAGCAGTTGATATTAAAGCATCCAATCCGTACATATTTAATGAAATTCTAAACGCCACAGTTTAATGTATCGAAACCGCTGATTTATATAAGTTACTATTATACTCGTTCCAAATTCAATAAAACGAGTTAATTTGTCTACGTATAATTATTTTGAATAAGTACACAAAAGCTTTTTTATTGAAAACTAATACACAATTATTTAAACTCGAGGAATAAAAAAAATCGTTTAAAGCGATGTAACAAAGTCAAAGAAAGTAATTGGATTTCGAAGAAGAAAAAGAAATATATCTTCACATTATTTTGCAATAAATATCTTTAAATCCTATTCAGAATTCAACGTGCCATAAAAAAGGCGACAGCAAAAGACAGTTAAAAATTGCTTTAGATAACCTTCGAGCATCCAGAAAAACCCACATAACACATTTTTTTAACAGGACTTTATCGGAACTTTGTTTAATTTCCAGGATAGTGGTAACTAGGAAACGCAAACACTCACCTGTGCTGGTGGTTAATCCAGGTTCCGGCGGCTGGAGTTGGTTGTAAAAGCACTACAACACGAAGACGGCTTCATATAGCTGGTGGCCCACGTTATATAGCACCTGTGGACGCGGCGCAGCCACTTTACGCCGCCACTCACGTTTCGGGGGCGGCTTCAAACAGGTTAGTGCGCTGCCGAAGATAATACGCCAAGCCGGGCTTTCCCCTGAGGATGCACTATTAAGCACGCTAATATGTTCATTGGTTTGCAAATTTAATGGCTTGATTTTTTCAATTTGGGCTCGTTTGGACGAGATTGGGGGATTTGGTGGGAAGCGAGGGGGGTTTATTTATTATTTTTGGGCCCACGTTTGCCGGCATTGTTTGCTTTATTGATTCTGAAATGTCGAAATAATTATCTGAAGGGGGAAGGTGTGTTTGGTTTATAAATCGGAGCTAATCGACACCTTTTTGAGTGATTAAGGCAAAACATGTTAATAATCGGGGAGCGTGACGTGACCATCTGCGGTGGTTGGCTTTGAAAATTTCCGCATTTGTGTGGTATACATCTCGCGTAAATGCTAATGACAATTATTGGGAAATACATGAGTTTCGTTGCTAAATTTGGAAGTGTATTAAAAGTTCCGGAATTAATTACTATAGGACCCAAAGGATATGCAGGCGTTTTAACTGTCACTTTTTAATTTAATCTACATACTTATATCGCTGATTAGTTAATTACATTCATTGAATTAAGGGTGCGCGAAATATCACGTGTTGCAAAAATTTAAGTTAATTCGATTTGAGCTAATTTAATTTTCACGTCTTTGTCTTCCGCGTGTGTACTCCTATTTTCAATTTAAGCTGCATGCAATTGTGGAATCATAAGAATTATAGCTTTAGAGTTAGTTAATATAAAAATTATATTAATTTTTCTACTTTTAAAATCCCATTTTAAATAAGTATTGTATTATATCTTCTCGCTATTGTAATTCCGGAGATCGGTTAAATTAGAAAAACTCCTGTTGTTAAATTTCATTTGATAAGCCATTCTTAAAAAAGTTCTAAGCCTCCTGTGCTAATGGTAAACGTCACTTTCTTTTAACGTTTTTCGAAGTTACATTTAATGTAATTATTGAAGGAAATCAAAACCCTTTATATTTACGAAATGTTTTTTAAATTTTGAAAAAGTCTGATTTTGACTTCCCTATGAAAAAATAGGCTTCCCGTTTCCGCCTGTTTACGGTATGTGTTGATATTTATTAGACGGATTATCTCCGAAACTACCGATTGTTGCTCAATTTTATATGTACTTTAGGAATATGTTGTCATAAACGTAATGGTAAAAGCTATTTAAATTTTGTAAAATAATATACTCTTGTACTTGTGGTTTATGAATCCGCCTTGAGTTTATATTTTTTTTTATAAAAAACACTGCGTTTGTTTGAGTGTGTTTCAGGAGTAAATTGTGGAGTTTAGTTTCAAACTCAAATGAGCTGTGTCGAAATCAATGTATAATTTGTATAATTTGTACAAAAACAGCAGTAATTCTAAGCAAACATTTAGATAAATAACGAACCATAAAAAAAATCTCTAATTAGTAGTTGATGTCTTTTTTCGGGAATGTAGGTCGCAAATTTATAGGCTTTGCCATTTCTATTGAAACACCACTTGTTAATCGTAAATTTGGCAACGTTCATATTCAGACAATTTTCTAACTAAAAGCCGTTGTCAATCAACCGAAAGCTGTTACTAATCGCTAAATTTTGAACAAAATCAACAGGTGTTGTTTCAATAGAAATGGCAAAGACAATATACATGCATGGCAAATAACTAGAGAGCTTTTTTTTCGTTATATGCAACTAATGAAATACATAAAAACATATTGTTAAAAATTATTATTAATAATGGATTTGTTCATACACAATATACATACAATACATATGAAACAGTTTTAAAGTATTACAAAACTTCTTAATTTCGAAATTTAGTACTTATTTGTAATATGTCAGATTATTTCTAATTTGTTCCTGTAAGTAATATCTTTAAGAAAAAAAATTCTTAAAATTATACTTTGCCATGTTTGTTCTGTGTTAACCTGCATATAATAAAAGCCAGTGACAGACAATATGGAATATATTTAAAGGAGAAAGAGTTTATATATCGAAAGAATGCGACGATTAAGCACGGAGCAAATTACCTGATTTGAAATTTTATCTACATCAATGGCGTTTTCTAAATCGTCGCCTGAGAACTTGTTTGATCCACAGATTGGAGTGCACTCAGGCCAATGTCGACTCTAAGCATTTAGAATTTCTACGGTAAATGGTTATTATTTAAACATAATATCACATTTCATATGTTTCACTCGATTTTGACATACAATTTTCTTTGTTTAACTAAATCGGGTTTGATACTAACAAAACGTCCTAAATTAGCAATAGCAATGGAACCTTATCATGTAATGGATTTTTTTGCCAAAGTGGACTTATTTTTATGTTTTAGGAATATTGTGTTCTGTTTTGTATTAATTTTTATATATTTTTAGTCACAACTTTGGTGGTTATTTAGTTTCCATACTTTCTCAATTTTTCGGTTTTTGAATTATCCGACGTTTTAATTTTTCGATTTTTTTTAAATTTCGAATTTCGATTTCTCGATTTGTCTTTTTTTCAGTTTTTCGATTTTTAAATTTTAGATTTTCGAGTTTTTTGATGTTTGGATTTGTCCATTTTTCAATTTTACGATATTTTAATTTTTCAGTGTTTTAAATTTTAGATTTTTCGATTTTTCAGTTCTTCAATACTTTTTTTCAAATTTTGACGTTCCTGAATTTTCAGTTTTCTTATTTCTCAATTAATCTACTTTTTTATTTTCCCATTTCTCGACTTCCCAAAGTTTCGGTTTTTCTGTTCTTCAGTTCTTCAATTTTTCGATTTTTTTATTTTCCAATTTTTCGATTTTTTTAAGTTTATAATTTTTTAACTTTGCTTGTTTGCTTTTCGATTTCTCAATTTTTCAATTTTTTAATATCCCAATTTTTGGATATTCCGTTCAATTTTGTGATCTTTCAGTTTTTCGATTCTTCAATTTTTCTTCGTTTTTCAATTTTTCGATATTTTAGTTTTGAGGTTTTTTCGATTTTTTGAGTTCTGGATTTTTTATTTCTCAACTTTTTATTTTTTGGATATTCAATTTTTCGTTTATGCATTTTTCAATTTTTCGACTGTTTTATACTTCGATTTTTCGATTTCTTGAGTTTTCAGTTCTTCTGCATTTCAATTTTTCAATTTTCGGAATTCGAAATAAATAGATTTTCCAATTTTTCCATGTTTCCAAATATAAATAGGCCAAATTCGAAAAATCGAAAAGTTAAAAATGGTAAAAATTCAAAAATCGAGAGATTGAGCAATCAAAAATCGAAACATCCGAATCTCATAAATAAATAATAAATTAATTAATTAAAATTAATTAATAATATAGAAGAACTGAAATTTAAAACAGTCGAAAAATTGTAAAATCCAAAGTTTAAAAAACAAGAAATTGAAAATCCAAAAAACAAAAAATCGAAGAATTCAGAAGTCGAAAAGTCGAAGGATCGAAATATTGACAAACCCCAAAACTGAAAGAAATAACCAAAAATTGAAAAAATAAAAAATTGGAAAATTGAGAAATCGAAAAACCAAAAAAGGAAAGTCGAAAAATCGAAGAATTGAAAAACTGAAAAATCGAAACTTTGAGAAGCCGAGAAATGGGAAAACCAAAAATAGATTAATTGAGAAATCTGAAAACTGAAAATTTAGCAACGTCAAAATTCTGAAAAATTGAAAAATAGAAATACTGACGAATGAACAATTAAAATATCGCAAAATTGAAAAATTGAGAAATCCAAACATCAAAAAATCAAAAAATAAAAATTTGAAAATCTAAAATTTAAAAATCGAAAAACTGAAAAATTGAGAGATCAAAACTCCAGAATTAAAAAAATTAAAAAATTGAAAAATCGGATAACTGAAAAATCGAAACTTCGAAAAATTGGAAACTCGAAAAGTTAAAAAGCCCAAAAGTAAAAAACGAAAAACCGAGAAATTCAAAAATCGAAACATCGAAAAATTCAAAAACTGAGACATCGAGAAATCGAAAAATCCGAGGATCGCGAAAGTCCAACGCCGAGAAGAAAAGTTAAAAATTGAAAAATTGATGAAACGAGAAATTGAACAATCAAAATATCGAAACATCCGAATTCGATAAATCGAGAAATAAAAAAATTGAAAAATCGAAAAATTTAAAAAAAAATGGAAAATCAACAATTTAAAAATTCGGAAAATTGAAAAATTGAAATAAAGAAAATGTTAAATCTTAAGAATTATTAGAGTTTTACAAATTGAAAAATTAATCGAAAAAGTTGAAAAATTGCGATATCGAAGTATAAAACAATCGAAAAATTGAAAAAGTTTAACGAAAAATTTTAAACCAAAAAAATAAAAAATCGAGAAATCAAAAAATCGAGGACTCCAAAAATCGAAATATTGAAAAATCCTAAAACTGAAAGAAATATCCAAAAGATTGAGAAATTAAAAAATCGAAAAATTGAAAAATCAAAACCCTGAAAAATCGAAAAATTGAAAAATGGAAAACTTGAAGAAGTGAACAATTGAAACTATGGGAAGTTGAGAAATGGAAAAATAGAAAAAAAACTTCAGAAATCGGAATCTAAAAATTTAGAAACGTCAAAATTTGAAAAATTGAAATATTTAAAAATCGTAAAATTGAAGAGGACAAAAATTGAGAAACCTAAAATTTGAAGAATGGAAAAATTGAAAACGCCCAAAATTGAAATAAGATTGTAAAACACAAGTGTCATTTTAATAATTTTATAACTGAAAAGAGTTTATCATCATCATTTTGGTGAAACTTTTGCATCACGTATTTTTAAAAATTAATAACTCAATTATGTATGGAAATTTCGGAACGCAGTTATCACCACTGTGTTTAGCTTATAAAACTTGAGAAACTACAAAAGAAACACTATCGATATTTTTTGTCAGAAATGAGATACTGTGAAAGCAGTTTTATGTTATCAGTATTTCTACAATAAATTAATGCTTGATATTTTTATCCAATAGGTTCTAATTGTTACGAAATTATCGAACTGATTGTTGTCAAATTGTGTATGTATGTTTAAATTTTGTAAAATATCGTACTTTTCCACTTGTGATTTAGAAATCCGTGTGTTT